ACAAATGAAGAAGTCCTGAGAAAAGTGGGACAAAAAAGGACTCTGCTAAGCACAATCCTGAAAAGAAAAGAAAACTGGATCGGACCCATTCTGCAAAAAGAGTGCTCTTTACACGTACAGATAAGAAAATGACTTAAAGAAATGAGAAGAAGAAGGCAGATGGTTGATGATTTATGCCAAAAATACAAGGAACTGAGAGCGCAGGATCATGAAGCATGGAAGCAGAAGTTTGGAAAGGAAAATACACAAAAAATGTTTGAAAAAGTAAGGATATTGGTAATGGGAAGTGGAAAAAAATAGTCAGGATTGACTATGGTGGCTCCCACACCATAGACCTGCCTTCAAATAGACTATCCATTATTATTAAGTTATAAAAATTTCACACAATGCAATTCTTCATTACATTAAAAATATGGCCTTATGTTCTATATCCTACATGAAAATTCTAGAGCATCTAGTAATCCCGAAAGAGAACAATTGCTGATAAAATTTCAAATAAAATCTTCTTTCCTTTATATAAGCATGTGTACTCGAAGCTTTTCCAGTAGAAAATGGTTGGAAAATACTTTTCGGACTCATGTTATACGACTCGGCCGTATCACATGATGGTACTTTTGTGTGAGCGCAGCGGTGTCACTACAATAAAGTGCAAAAAACGAAAAGTGCCCTCTACTAGTACGTATGTTAGATGTAATAAATGGACAGAAGAAGAACTAAATCGAATTGTAACATTTATATCAAGTCGGGCTACTTTCCGAAACGGCACGGAAACGGAGTTTTATTCCTAGATATCCTTGTTTATGTTCGTGCTTTCAAATTTATTTTGGTTCAGTGGGTATTTACATAGGGAATTTGAATCAACATCTTAATATTTTTTATGATATATATATTACTTAATATATTTATGATTTTCTTTGACAAGAAGATATCTGATCTAAAAAAAATCTAAAATTCACACTTTTCTGAATCACTTATTTCTTGGGTTTGTACATCGTTTTGTATCTCTTATATGTTTCTGTTCATGTTAGTGCTTTAAAATTTATACTTAAATAATGTTATATATATAATGCAAGCTTTGTATCTGAACTTATTACAGCTTTTATTTCAATAAACTTTTATTAAACGAATTTTATGTGTTAGCGATATAACGATTTTCTTCCCATGTAAGTTTTTATGGTGCTGAAAACGATTTTTACGATTTTTAGTTTTGAAAACTATTACAGATTTATGAACTATCATCGCGATTATATGGGATAATTCAAATCGCGAATAAGGGGGTTGTTTATGGAGAAAGTTTCCACATATATATATATATATATATATATATATAATATTAGAACAGTTAATTTCGATGTTGCGATATGTAAGTGGATTTTTCTAAAGAAATTCATGAAAAAGGCAAAAATAAACTTGTTTAGGTAAAGGTCTTGATATTCTTCTGCCGGAAACAAATCCTTTAAATATTTCCAAATCTGGAAAATAATAATAAAAAGTATCATGAACAGATTAAAGTATGTAAATAATTATAATGATAAAAAACTTGGTAAGGAAATGTAAAAATAATTTGTACTTAATTTTGATGGAAATCCAATCTGAGTTGTTTCTCGTCGATGTTTTGGAATGAGATGCGAATAATCAAAGCCTATGATACAATATGATATGAATACTGATGCATTTCATTTGCACATTGCAAATAATGAATTCCCTTCTTATTTTCTACCTCCCATCCATTATACTATTTCACAGTCCATTTCTGTTTGATGTTACGTGTTGCTGCGCGTGCACAGCAATTATAATTTGCAAAAGTAATATTAGCGAAACGAAAACTATAATTAACAAAGTTGAGCTTTTTCTCCAGGTGAGACAAAATACTAACATGCAATAATTGTGTATGGAGCTGAAATAACAACACTCGGCAAGTTAATTAATAGTCATTGTTCTCTTCTAGCAAGCTAAGTTTGCTTTTTCTTTTAAGCGAAGCAGTTTCTCAACTTCATTTGCATGGTGCCGTACAAGTTGCGAGAGCGAAGCTTGCGAAGTGCTTGCTTTCTACTAAAATAGGGACGGGGCGATTTAGAAAACACTGATTGCATGCAATAACGTAGTAAAAAATCGTATCAGGGATGGAAATTTATTTATTTATCTAGAGGCATTAAGTTCATCTCAAAAAGCACATGCAAGTACAAACAGTACATGCATGTATGAAAAATTACAGTGATTTTTCATTCAATGGATACTAAAAATAAAATTAAAACTAAAACAATTGAATTGGAGTGAAAAGAAAAAATAAAATAGTAAATAGTACTTGGAAAATTTTAATAATCCATGGTATCAGGATATGGTAATGCACTACACTATGTATTATAAACATTAAACTTACACAATATTTTCACAAAATACTAATTCAAAAAATCACAATTGGATAATGTGTTGTTCGTAGACTGGTTGAAGATATAATGGAGAAAGGACTTTTTAAAAAATATTTTTTACCAAGATTCTACACATGTGTGGAACGAATTGCGAATCCTTTGCGCGTCGTATTTATTGTTTTGTAAGAAATTTGGAAATACTAACTAAATAAAAAAGATTTGTGTCGCACAGCGTGTTACGTTCATTTCTTTTATTTATTGTTTTATTGCTGTAAACAGTTAAAAAAGATCCTTCTATAATTCTTCGCTTGAATAAATTTTGTTCGAATTGTAGTACAGTCATAGTACTCAGCTATCATAGTTTTAAACTGTCATGGATATATATATATATATATATATATATATATATATATATATATATACAAATACTTCAAGTGCCGACAAAGATAATTTTCCTAATAATCAAATGATTTGTGAAAGAAATTAATAGATTTCATTATTTAAAAATATAGGTCTCTGATTAATAAATTCAAAAAAAAATATTATATTCAAATTCAAAGTCGGTAATTGTATTCAACCTGAAGTAGTTTGAAATTTCACACTTTGTGGCTTAAACTTACGTAAATATTATAACTATGTAATCCGTTACAAAATCCATATCCCGCAAACTATGATTTCTATCGATTAAGCAAACAATAAAATTAATTAATTTGATGCATTTAAGTGAAATTACATTAATTCAGCGTCAGAGAAATTAAATTTTCATTATGCAAGATTTTGGCTCGAGGTGTTAATTCTATTATATAGCCACACTTCATCATTGCGAACACTCGCGGCTTGTACGTGGTGCAGATTGAATGTACCGTACTGTAGATATTCCAAGTTTCTACACAAATGAGGAAGCTGTACTCAATATGGATTAATTGGCTAGGAAATTAATTATTTATAATAATTGAGGTAAAACACTTAACAGTTTTATTATAGAATAATTTCGAGTAAAATTACAAAACCAAAAAATGGTCCAATAACGTACTCAAATCTTTCTGGAAATTATGAGAAATGGATGGTAGACTTATTTTCTAGAACTCCGCACAACTGATACTGACGCCACTTTTACCAAGATTATCTCAAATAAGTAAAATTAATGAAATTATACGAAACCTTAACCTAGTTTAGTTCAGGTTTATTGGCATAAAAGTAACATAGGAAAAATACTATTTTTATTATAATAAAGATTTTTCATTAGCCGGTCTTATACTCGAGAGTTTCAATCATTACAATGTATGAGTATAAACTTCAAATGCTTTATGTAACGTTTTTCATGAATTTTATTTCCTTTTCAAGATGGCTATAAATTGCCATAATGATCGTTCAAAAAACTAACATTATAGAGAAATATCGTAATACTCGTGGTTACAATAAAACCGGCAGCAGACGTTCACAAAAAAATTGTATCGCCAAGAAAAATACATCTAGAGGCGAGAAAATGCACAACGAACCAAACCCGAGAGTGTTGCGCAATAAAGCAAAAAGTTGGCAAAGTTGACTACTGGTTTACCGACCATCGTTTATCCTGCCACTGGGAGATGTGCGGTTGACACTGTGGTCTGTAGTTTACTTTGCACAACTTCAGCAAGAACTTGTCCCGCCGACCGCCCTCGGCCCGAGAGAGCGGCAAGTTGCCGCCTGTAGCGGACAACGAGCGTCAGCTGTTTAATAAAATCCGTATTGCATTATCGCTCGATTCGATGTTCGGAGTTTTGCGATGCTAAAGACTTTTATAAATCTCCCAGAAGTCGTGGTGACAGGAGAATTAGTCGAGTGATTTAGGATACATATTTATGGTATGATTAACTATAATTACGTTTACTGGTTTGGTTACAGGATGCATTAACAAAAACCTACACTATTATTTATTGGTAATATTACTTGCAAATATTCGTAAAGAGACAGCATATGCTTTGTGGATAATCATAGTTTTATAATATTTATCTGATTTATTCCTCCAAACTCTCAATCACCCATGATCCTAGTTGAAGTTGAACTTAACTAACAGATCTATACATATTTTACACGCAAATCCTTCCACTCCTTCTAACCTCAAACATTTTACAAAATCCGTTCGAATGTTCTCATAAGCCAGCTAGACAAATGCAATTGCATAAATCCTAAATCCGACGTTGCCATACGTTAACAGACATCGCTTTTGAGACATTTTCCATTTTCCTCAACTAGGATTGATCTTGAGTTTTCCATATATCACTTGCAAACATCTACCTACTGATATCAGTTGCGATTTGTTTTATCATATCGGAAAATATTGGATTTGGATAACAGAGAACCGGGTAAACTGGTAATACATTTGATCTAGGAATAAAATTAGCATTATTTATTTAGATTAGTTATTTTGTTTATCCTTTTTTTACTTGCCCAATCATCTATTTACATAACACATTATTAAATCAATTGCCCATAAAGAAGAAAAATTAAGGAAATAATTAGGAATATTTGATTATTTCTTAATAAGTTTCTTCACAAGATTTTGAACAGAAGATTTGTTGTAAAAATTTTGAATTATCTATATCTATTTATTTATTGCTTCCCATTAATTTTTTTTCCTCTTTTTTTCAGAGCATGGTGATTGTGGAAAATGTAGACATTTATAAGAAGGATTTGCAGTTATTCTATGACCGGTAAGAAATCTTAATAATTTTACTTCTGTGTAAATGTACTGTTTGAATTCTCAATATCTTTGTTTATTTATTTTTTGTCATCTTACAAACGTTCCCACAATTAATTAACACGTTAGGCGCCATATTAATTATATCTGCTATGCCATATATGTCTGACTGTCTTTCTTTTTCAAAAGAAAATAGTCAAAAAATTGATTGAAATAAGGACTTATCTGACATATCTAGTCTTCGCTTTATATTTTTACTATCTATATTAAATATAAGAGATAAAACTCATAGATTTTTCAAACAAGTAGAATATACGTCCAAAAATAGTCTTCCCATTTCCAGTTTCCTGTAGACTATTTTCAAGTAGTTTATATATGTTACGATATTTACAAATATCGTTATCGAATATATCTCAGTGTAATGTAATGCAATTGCCGTTGTTCCGCCAATAGTAGTATTCTGTATATTTATTTCATGTTATACATATTATCATTATTCAAAATACGCGGAAATGCATTTACTCTTAATATAATGGCAAATAGCATTTGATATTTTGCGGTATTTGCATGTAAAATAAGAGGAATCATATTCTGCGATCTGAATGAATGTTTATGTGCAAATTACAAGTGGTTGTATGAATATATTTATTTGTTGAATATATTGTGTTTGGATTGTGCCAGTGAAATACTATGATTCTTTGCTGAAATTAGATAGGATGTTGGTAACAAACAGGAGTTAAATTGAATAAATAGCTTTCCCAACTCTGCTGATAAATATTTCTGACAAAATACCAGATCAAGATCATTTACAGTGTTATCTCTGTAAAATATGCACCCATTAAATTTATATTTTGCATTGGTTGAAAAATGTAGCTATTATTTCTTAAATCTCGTTCAAAATTGAAATAAAACATTAGACTTGCCCCCCACTCCCCCCACTCTAACCGGGCTAATTTACCTCGTTTATGGGATAAAAAGCTCCAGATTACAAATTTTTGATATGTGTTATTTGCTGTGATAGAATATCTATAAGGTTCAAATCATTTACAAATATCCGTTATCGTTTAGGCAATTTTTAAATCCATTCAAACAAAATATGTCACGAGAACGTTACCCAAATTATCATCAATATATGATAAGTTGCTGAAATATTCCAGCCTTGTAGGCATCAGTACACATATCGCGGTCTAATTTCCATAAACGTTCACGCATAAATTTGATAATTTCGCCGCCGATCGGCAAAAAGCAAATATTTACTTTGTGTGCGCGATTAATCAAAAGTTGACTTTCGCGAGAAAAACTGCAATTACGTACAAGAATGATGCCATAGTCGGTTTACCACCGCCACCACCGCCGTCTTGGTCTTTGTCTGACAGTTTAAGATTAATTGCCTTTGAAAAGAAGGTTTTTCAGTCATGATCTATTGCTTTGTCTATATATCTGATACTGTATTGTGTTGTGAGCAGAGAGAAACTTTTCGCGAAATAAAACCAACATCGAGATTTGGATTATCATTTTGCAATGTGGTACTCAAAAACTAGGTACTTAGTAATAAAACTACCAATTTTTATTGCTGAAATCGTAGCATTGAGTAGAGACATTTGAATTTAGACATTATGGTTTAAAAGTTTTAAGTGTGTAAGAAAAAGATTACATTTGTATATAAATTACTTGCTTTTTAACTAAGTATTTTATATACATGAATCTTTTCAAACAATCTTTTTTCTATGAGTATTTTTCACTTCCTTGAATATCGAAATTTTCCCTGAATTGCAATTTTTTTCACCACGATTTTCTAGTGTCTAGCGCCCTTGATGCCACCGAGTTTTATGTTTCTGTGTACATGCGGGCAGAACATGAGATTATGGATTAGAAAAAAAGTTGACGTAATTGATGATGCAACTTATAGACCACGACTATCTGAGCACTTTATATCGGTCCAACAGTGAGAAAATATACCCTGGTAAAAGACAATGTAAAATTCTGAAGGGATCCATCAGATAATGGTTGAAAGCATCTTAGGTTTGACAATATTTACATTAATAATATTCAGAACATACAAATTAAAATAATTTGTATATACTTCAAGTTAAAATACACAATATATTGGAAATGGTTGCTTCCAAATAATTTGCTTCATTTTTGCATTCTAATCCAATTTAAATTGGTTGAATATTAATCAATCTATTATATGTTGATCGTATTTTTTCGATCTATTTTCTGATGCTATATGAAGTCGATAATGTCTCAGTTAGAACTATTTAATGTTTGTTGTCAACTAGGTAAGATTCTAAAACTTAGAAGTCTGCACCAGACTTTGGACAAATGAACGGGTAAAGTTGGAACAACAACGTATGTAAGTTCTTGGTTAAGTTTCAACTATTATGGTGTTACACAATTTTGAATAGTGTTTCTTGCAAATCTCATTATTATACACATATGCAGCATATTAATAAAATAGCATGTAGATTGTTATTGATTTTTGGTAAAGGGAGGAGATGATAATATATATATTAATTTGGAAATATGAACAAACAACACTCTTTTTTGCACTAATTTATTAAATAATAATGTTCACAAACGTCTAGAGACTAGGTTTGTCTTATCATCATAATTCAAAAATTTAAAATATGGAAACCTAAATTAGCATTATGTGTTATCCGTTACAAGTCGTTCGATATACTGTCTTCTGTCCCACCAACGATCGTCGGTGTCCGAATTCTCTATTCAATTTCAAGTGGATTTCAAGTCACGCAATATCAGATAGAAAAGGAAGGGTTAGATCTATTTGAGACTTTTGAACATGAAATACTAACTGATCTTGCGATCTCCTCTCCTCTCTAAACGTTATGACTATGGAATAACCAAGGATTCTAGTAATATATATTTATGATTTTACTAGTATTATGAGTAAACACAATTATACTGTGCATATTTCTCTACGATTTCAACTCTTTTCATATATTGTTTGCGCACGATAATATATTTCACATAGCCTCTATCCTTTATCCTTTATCCTTTTCCAGAGCAAACAATGAAACGCAGTAAATTTTTCGAAAACAGGATACACGCCTTGCCGATTCAGCCACATACTCGTACATTTCCAACTTCGCATGTGTGGGCAATGTGCAGTATGCAGTTTCAAACTATTTTGTTTTGTATTCTATAAGTAGAAATTTCTAAAGTTTATTTTAGTTTCCTTGGCGAGTTCCTGTCGGATCTCTCGACGGCATAATTTGATTTTTCAACCATGCATGTGTACTTATAGGAAGAGAGCTGGGGAAATTAAAAATTGTCCATAAAACATTTTTTATTATTTATACAATACAATTAAAGTTACGCTTCTCACATTTGTTTTTACTTTAAATTACAAGTGTCTACATATGATATCTAGTAATTGATAGGGATTATTACAAAACAATATTCAACAGGTCATCCAGTAGAGAGGGCGTTTATTAATCACGTGAGCCTTATAGGAGGAGGGAGGATTTGACAAAAATTTACGAAATATCAGTAAATTACCACGTGTATTTATTTTTTACCTCATGTTCAAAAAAATCTAAAAAATTTATTACTATTACTATTTTTTGCTGCCAGAAACTGGTTCACCTGTCCTTAGTCTATGTTATACAGGTTGTTTGACATGTTGTTCGTATATAAGTGTACTCGTATTAATACAAAAGTTTTTCCAAGACTTGTCAAAGTAACGCCATACTGTATAACACCTGGAAAAGTCTGGAGCAACTCTAAGGCGTTTTAACTGTATATTTTCCAGCTTACATATGTTGAAATTCGATTAAACTTGTTTCAGTAATTAAGTAATAAATTTATATAAATGAGTACATTATGATAAAATGATAAAACTCTTAATTTATCATATTTAAATTGATATACAACTGAGCTACAAATTGATATACGATTGATATTCGTTGAAATAAAAAAAATATAAAGTTTCTGGTGAATAGTTTAAATATCTGCACAGTTAATTTGGAGTACTCCATTTGGTACAAATTTCATAATATAATTTACGAATAATTACTGAAAATTGAATTTTGTTCTGATTTAATTAATTTAAATAAATTGGTTCACTACTACTGTAAGATTACAAATTTGTATGAAATGACATTGATGAATTGCAATGTTTGTTTGATATGCGATGTTAATATTCATTAAAATTTTTATTTTTTAATGTAGATGAATTAAAAATACTGCTAATTTTTATATATATATAAAATAATATGATTTTTTATTACAATAGATTGAATTTATTCAAATCAGCAAATATATCACCAATTCGTATGGATTTATTCCTGAAGCAATCTAATTATAATTATATGAGCTTTTTGTGTACAGAACTAATGTATTTTTTGATGAATCAATAATGAAATATTTATAAAATTATAATCAGATAATACTTTTATTTTATTTCAAAATTATGTAAATTAAATTCTACTATTTGTAGTTTAATATAAATTTTTTATTTGCAATTCAATAAAAGAGTAGACTGGTTGTTTAATTAATACGAAGTGGAATGAGTTTGATTTGATTTATTAACGAGTTTTATTTTTAAAGTTAGCATTATTTACTAAATAATACATATATATATATATATATATATATATATATATATATATATATATATATAAATTATAATGTATATTGGATTTTGGTCGCGAATTATAATTCTGATGAGCGATATAATTGCTAGTTTAGATCGCTTTGCCGATACTATTTCCAAGCAGAAATAATTTATTGCAATTTAATTTAATTCAGAAACAGATACTACAGAATTATAATTAATATCACATAATTTCACATATTTTATATTCCACGAATGAATACTAAAATATATCATTGTGTAATGATATAATTAAATGAATTAAATAATTGAATATCATTATATAACGAAATTATAATTAGTGTCATTTCTAATAACGAGGGCATTTTTGGCAATATTTACTCCGGACAACCTGATATCAAGAAGTCGTGATATCCTTCTTTACTTGAAAATAT